AGAGAGAGAGAGAGAGAGAGAGAGAGAGAGAGAGAGAGAGAGAGATGGCGGTTAATGATGCTTTGATGCTGCCATAACTCCCACGGTGGAGTTGGTAAAGCTGGATTGTTTGCCCCGGCGGTCGGGTTTTGAATGTTTCTTTCAGAAACGGAACCGTGGTTCCGTATCAGACAGGGAGTTCAGTAGAAGGGTGTGTCATTTAAAGGTGGTTGGCACCAAGCTCAGGAAGCTGTATTAAATCCTACAGCATCTTGTTCCCGAATTTTTTGATTTTATTTTTTTTGTCCCGAATAAAATTCCAGCCTGTAGGTTCTGTTTCCATCTCCGGTTATGCTGAACAAAGTTGCAGCTGCGGGTTTCTGTTGCATTGGGCGTCACTGCACTACTCTCCACATGCGCAAAAGACAAAAAAGGTGGCAATGTATCTTTCCATATTCTAGCGAAGGATTCAGGGTCTTTTTCAGGCTCATTTTGCACGTTTGGAGCGTAGTGCAGCCACGCCCATTGACAAACACAAAACAGCGCTTCCGCGCAGTTCTCCCAAAGAAAAACTTCACTCCTGGGATGCTGGACCTGGTTTCCAGCAGGCGTTGCGCCCCACCAATAGACCCGGGAGCCACCTGCGGCAACCTGCAGGTGCTGCTAGGGGGGATGCTCATATCACCCCCTCTAGCGCACTGGCAGGGGGTTCCAAAAAAAAAAAAAAGAACAGCAAGTCTTCCGACTCTTCACCACCTCTGTCTCCATCTGCTACGAGTAGACCCACACCCATTACTGAGTGGTTGTGATAATTGGGTCTGCTACAAGTGGGCCCACACCCGTTATGGAGTGGTGGCAATATTTGGGTGCTCGGTTGGGAGACCGAGGACCTGGCCTGTTATCTGTACCAGGTTCTTGTAGTATGGGCCTGATTGGATTGTCTGCACTATGGGTGTTCCATTGGAAGACTGCGGACCTGGCCTGTTATCTGTACCAGGTTCGTGTAGTACGGGCCTGAATAGATGATTGTCTGCGCTATGGGTGTTCCTTTGAAAGACCAAGGACCCGGCCTGTTATCTGTACCAGGTTTTTGTAGTATGGGCCTGAATAGATTGTCTGCGCTATGGGTGTTCGGACCGTGTTCCTTTGAAAGACCAAGGACCTGGCCTGTTATATGTACCAGGTTCTTGTAGTATGGGTCTGAATAGAATTGTCTGCGCCAGGTTTTGTAACATGGGCCTGGAGTCGGATCCCATTTTGTACCATGTTCCTGTAACATGTTCCTGGTCTGCTTTCTTTACCAGGTTCTGTTGACGTGGGCCTGGGTCCATTATCTGGACCAGGTTCTTGTAACATGATCCTTGTCTGTTATGTTCCGCAGGTTTTTGTGATGAGCGTGGTAATCTACCATCTCTCCTGTCTACTGAGTAACTGAGGAGCTCACTTCTAGTTCTAGTCTTCTGGGAGGCAGCATGCCTAACTCGTCCTGTCTCTCTGTTTTCTTGGCGAACCAGAGGGAACTGTTGCAAAAGGACGGAATACGATGTATAACTTTCCTGGCTCTCGCTCAGTATCATGACCCTGGCGGTCCAAACTGTAGTTCTCGCTCAGTAATGTGACCTTGACTGTCCAAACTGAAGGTCCTAAAGGGAAGGGATGTCAACAAACCTGGAGATATTTGGCATGCATTCTGGTTGTTGTTGCTGTTGCTGTCGCTGTTGCTGTTGCTGCTGCTGTTGTTGTCGCTGTTGCTGTCGCTGTTGTTGTCGCTGTTGTTGTTGTCGTTGTTGCTGTCGTTGTTGTTGTTGTTGTTGTTGTTGCTGTCGTTGTCGTTGTCGTTGTTGTTGTTCGTTGTTCGCTGTTCGTTGTTCTTGCTCTTCTTCTTCTTCTTGTTTGTTGTTGTTGTTGGCTCCATCCATTGGTGGGAAGCTACACCTGCTGGAAAGCTGGTCCAGCATCCCATCATAACACGATGATTGTTTGTGACCAGAGAAGTTTGTCAGGATCACTGTCTGATTGCAGATCATTAGGATACCTCCCTTTGCCTGTCTTTCTGTTCGACAGCCGTGTCCCCGCCCCCCTGCTCCTGTCCCCTCTGCTACCTCTGTCGCATGCTCTCTGTTACCCACTCCGTTGCCAACCTCCCTTGCCCTTCTTTTGTCTGGCTTTTCCTTTTCTGTTTCCCTCTAGACTGCTTGGCTCATTCTCTCATTGGCCGTGTCGATCTCTGTCTCTACCATCTCTGCTAGTACAGACAGAGATCGACACTGCCAATGAGCGAATGAGCCAAGCAATCTAGAGGGAAACAGAAACGGAAAAGGGTCCACATGGACTCCACAAAGGATTTTCCTACACTACCAGCAGAGTACTTACCACGGACTTGCGAAGTCCTCTGCTGGTAGTTTAGGAAAAATCCTTTGTGGACCTTTTTGCATAGGTCAGTAAAGAATCTAGAAGATCTGAGCCGTCTGATCTTGTTGCTGCCCCTTCTACCTCTGCTGCACCTTTATCCAAGTGGGGCCCTGTGGGGGTATGCTACTATGCATTCAGAGCTTAGCAAGGAAGAAAGTGCTGTTCTTGTTCTACTTCTCTGGCCATCGGCCGGCTCTAATGTGGCGCATGTTTTACACTGGGCAGCAGACTTTTACATATTGACAGGGTTAGGCCACCAGAAATGTATTTACCCCACTGTACCCCCTGGGCCCCCATAATGTGCGACCGGGTATGATATGAATGTTCCCAGGCTATAATGAGAGCCCCAGGTGGGAAGGTACGTAAACAGGGACGAGCCGCCCCTCTAGCACCCCCTGCAAAGCGTCCTGTGCGGCAGGGGTACAGGCTGCCCCATGATAAATCGGACTACTGCTGCCCCCCATAATCGATGGGACCCTTTAGCCTAAACAAAAGGCCAGGTGCAGGCAATGCACCAACAACCTATTTGCAACAACATGTTTCCAAAGTGCCCCCTTGAGACCTGCCTAGTGTAAATTTGGGGTTCCGACAACCCCCATCTATGTGGACTGTGCGCCTGCTAGGGGAATGCTCGCTGATCCCCTTGAAATCGAGAGCAGCCGTAGCCCCCCCCCACCAGAGCTGCCCGTTGGGGGGGGAAGCCCCGCTGGACTATGTCTCGGTCTTTGTTGGGAAATCTGACGGTCTCAGTGAGATGGTAATGGTCAACTTTCTATGGCAGGCGTTGGATTCTCAAGCCTACATTCTTCCCCCAAATACAACATATGGTCGTTATAGCTGAATTTGGGGCATCTTTCAGTTTAAATTCAGCTATAATGACCGTTTGTTGTATTCGGGGGAAGACTGTAGACATATGCATAGCTCACTGGGAAGCTAAGAACCCCCACTGCAACTATGGTCATGGCCACATTTGTGCTAGCTGAGCACAAGCGTAGCAAACAGTGGGGCCTGCCTCTAAGTCATCCTCAGGTGAAAAACTGCTGAGGCGCATAGCCTATAGAGGGGTGCCTGCCTTCAGTAGAGGGTGTGAGGAGAGAATGTCTTCTTCCCTCATCAGAGCCGTACAGCTGCTCCTGAGCTCCTGACACTTCATGGTGCAATGAAGTCCCCTGCCAGGGAAACCTACCAAATTAACCCGCTAGAAATAATCCAACAGCAGTAACCCAGTGGAAGTAACCCTCTAGAAGTAACCCACTAGAAATAACTCACTAGAAGTAAGCCGGTGGAGGTAACCCTCGGGAAGCAACCCACTAAGAAACGATTCTTTTTTTCTGGTTATGATCCGCTCTGGAAGCTTTTCTGTTCAAGTTGGCAAAATGTCACCACATTCTCAAAAAAAAAAAAAGAAAAAAAAGTCACCACATCTGATTAAGCCATCAGTAGTAGATTCAGTACTTGGCCCAGCGCACAGCTGCGGGTGGGCACTGCGACCTTCAGGCCTGTTCAGGGGTCGCTGCTTGGCAGGGTATTGCTGAAATTCATCGACGGTGGCCCAGACCCCCGAAGGTTGCAGCGCAGACAGCCCAGCATGAACAAATAGCTGGGCCAAGTACTGGGGGGTTAAAATGCCGAGAGTCAAGAGACCAAAATTGTGCACTTCTGCCCTGTACCCTACTCCGACCGTTCAAAAGTGCGCAGTTGGCAGAGAGCCAAGATACCAACATTGTGCACTTTCGCCTTATACCCGTCTCAGACCATGCAAAAGTGCACAGTTGGTTGATAGCTCTCTCTCTCTCTCTCTCTCTCTCTCTCTCTCTCTCTCTCTCTCTCTCTCTCTCTCTCTCTCTCTCTCTCTCTCTCTCTCTCTCTCTCTCTCTCNCTCTCTCTCTCTCTCTCTCTCTCTCTCTCTCTCTCTCTCTCTCTCTCTCTCTCTCTCTCTCTCTCTCTCTCTGTGTGTGTGTGCACGTGCATCACGAGTGAGTGCAGCCATGCGGAACAAAGGGCAATAAAATTGGCATCTGGTGGGTGATGCAGGGAGTGCCGAGTGATGCAGCCTGCAGAGGTCCTTGTTCAAGAGGAGGTCTTACGTGTCCAGGTTGTGGAATAGCTGCATGCTGATGCCGTTGTTTTGCCCTTTTCCCCTTCTTTTCTTTTGTTGGATGCTGTGTTCCCAGGAGGAGGAGGCTCAACAACGACCACTTGAGCCGGTGGTGAAAGGGCCGCCAATCGTGTTGGAAGGTGACTCAGCAGGCAAGGTTGAGACTGAGATATCCGCCTCAGGGGTAACACAAGACGATCAGAATGCTTCACAGAATCTTGATGGGCTGTCATCAAGGTGAGTCAATATAGTCCCCCAGTGTATATAGTACGGAATGCATTGTCGGGTGGGGAGGGGAGAGGGGGGAGGGGGGAAAGTGGGTGAAAGCCCGGCAAGTTGGCAACAGTTAAAAAAAATCCGGCAAAATTTGCCCTAACATGTTAACGTTTTGTTGCGTGGAACAATGCCTGTGATCATGGGTAGATTCGGTAGAACGCATTGATTTCAAAAACCAGAAAAAGATACAGAATGCATAAGCCTGACAACCAAAATTTCAATGCCTCAGCATCTCGTTCCAACTGTGGATGTAACTAAATGACAGAACGCGCTACCCTCCGACAAATCCAGATTACCTGCCTGAACATTTTTCATGTGGAGTTGTGCATCAAAAATCATTCTAGTGGACAGGATTCATAATCTGGATTCTGGACCAATAAAGCATGCGCAAAGAAGTCAGCTCAACATCCGCACAGACACAGTCTACTACGGTAGCATCCGCAAAGAACTCAGCTCAACATCCGCACAGAGACAGTCTAAGGTCGTAGCTTTTGATCAGAGTCAAGATTCCGGGGTCATGACTGAAAAGTCACTTCTCCAGGGTCATGACTGAAAAGTCACTTCTCCAGGGGTCTTGACTGAAAAGTCACTTCTCCAGGGGTCATGACTGAAAAGTCACTTCTCCAGGGGTCATGATTGAAAAGTCACTTCTCCAGGGGTCATGACCGAAAAGTCACTTCTCCAGCTCTAGAAGGGCCTCAGAAAGTCCCAAGGTCAATACTAGACTCATTAGGTACTGGGTCAAGGCCCTGAAGGGTGAAATGAGGCAACTGGTGCCCCTTGGAACTGGTATTTGACTTAAGGAAAATCAAGAGTCAGGCCCAACTCCGGAAAAGCAGTCAGCGGGTCAGAGATTTCTCAGGAGTCAACCACAGCGGCAGATCCTCCTTCTTCGCCCGAATACAACGTACGTCGTACGGTCATTATAGCTGCATTTGGGGTATCCTTTCGTCTAAATACAGCAATATTGACCGTACGACGTACGTTGTATTTGGGCGAAGAAGGTAGTGCGCATCCGAAGGCTGTCTGCAATGTTCCAGAAGTTTGAAAACCCACTGGGTCCAGCCAGGCACACGATGGCTGACAGCAAATCCGGGCCGTCCATGAAATGTCGGCCACACGAGGAGGCAAAAGAGAGGCTGGCCACGCCGAGTCAACCATAATAAAGCCTGGCCTGCACGAGTCGGCGCATTTCTTTCTGCCTCGCGCTGCTTGATGCTGCAGAGCTGTCCAGAGCGCTGGAGGAGGCAGGAGTAGAGCGCCGGCTAGAGGGAAGAGAGTGAGCGCCAGCAGCCATAGCTAGAATTTGGGTGCATGTGCACCATAACCTAGTGTAGGGAGCGAGTCAGGATGAGGGTGATACAGACCTGCGTGGTGAGACAAAGTGCGCCATCGCTAGAGTTTGGGTGCATGTGCACCATAACCTAGTGTGGGGAGCAAGTCAGGATCAGGGTGATACAGACCTGCATGGGGCCATAACTTACAGGGTCGTCAGAGTTCTTTTTTATATTCAAAAGGGACAATGGCCTTGAGATATCATCTTCAAGCTGGCCAGCCCCAGGTAAATTCTGAAACAGTTTTCACCTTTGGCAGTAGCCGATGCAGATCCCAGGGGTCGATCCTTTGACCTCAGCTTACCTGTGTACAGTATCTGCACAGTTCCCTGGAGTTGAACCCGTGACCTGCACGATAGCCAGTGGTAAGTAGGTCGCCGTAGGTTGTAGGCTGTAGGGAGATTCGAACTG